TGTCAACTTCTACTTGCACTTGTAGGCTGCCCATCCTTCAATCTGCATCGTCTTCCATCTTTCATCTATAAACTTTCTAAAATCATTATGTTGTTGCCATAAATCGAGTACCCGAAAGGGCTTGGGACCCCAGTCAACACTTCTTGATTTCAAAATAATTACACAGTGATCTGAGATTGACCTTCGAATGCCCTCTTGAATCCAATCTCCCTCCATTAAACTCATTTTAGTGGATAGCAAGAACCTATCGAGTCTAAGTCATTGAAGTTCCATCCGGTCTATACCATGTAAACTTTCTATTCCTCAACCGGATATCTACCAATCCCGTCTCTTGCACAAAAAGATTAAATTCTTCCATATCTTGAGTCTCACCCATCCTCCCTTTCCTCTTCTCACTATTACGAACAACATTGAAATCCCCTACCAAAAGCCATCTCCCACCCTCGTCCAATACGAACCTGCTCAATTCCCCCCACAACAAAACTCTGTGTTGCCTATCGCACGGCGCATATACATTAACAAAAGTGCATTGAATCCGTTGATGACCCCACTCCCCTAAAATCCCGATGAAACCTTGACCTTCAACTACCCCCTGTTTCACAAAATTCCTCTTATTCCATATGCACAGCAAACCAACCGAATTACCATTTGATATTTGCATCACCCATTCAAAATCATCTGAGTTCCACACTAACCGACACACAGACGTCTCAATTTGTTCAAGCTTTGTTTCCTGAATAAACAAAAAATCCGGATTCTCATTTCTTACTAACTTAGAAATCTCTTTTCTCTTCACCACACTACCCAAACCCCTAACATTAAATGAAATAACCTTCATAAGTAACTTCCATACCTCACCAGCCGGCATCCACACAGATCCATCGGGTTATGCCTCCTTGAAGCTCGCCACCTCCCCCTCTTCCAACGTGACCAACCGAGACAACACTTCTTCCCCATTTTGTTGACACTTAACCCCTAGTCTTTGCCCCAACATGAACAACTTCTGCACCTCATCCAGCTGGATCTGCTGCTGAATCACTTGGTTTCTATTCTGGATGCACCCATCGGACAGAGAGAAGCTTCCCGTCTGCAACTTCGGCCTGGGTTCCTCTCAATTGGCCTTGCTTCTTCGATCCCTTCTGCATTTTGTTCTTGCAGTTACCCAACTCACCTCCCCTGCTTTTAATTTTGCCTTCCCATCCATTGCAGCCCCGATACCCTCATTCCCCGCATATATTGCGCCTAAATCTTTGCTCTTCTTTTTTTTTTTTTTTT